ACTAGTATTGATATTGTTATTATTTATTATTTTTATTATTATTATTATTATTATTTAATTGGAGGGTTCTTATTACAGGGAGACCTGTATATTGAAAAGTATACTCTATAATGTTCGCCTATATTAATAATTTTTCTAATGATGATGATTTGATGTGAATCTTTTTAAATTAAAATAATTAGTGTACTGTATAGTTAAATCGTTTATGATAGGCCGGTATCACAGGGATTTCAACACCCCCACCCCAGGCAAAAATCCATAGTAAATTCAGCTCCAGGAGAGAGTGTTCACTGGGATATCGGTCTGTTATACATGAAATTCCAACTTGATATAGGCAGATTCTCCATAAATGTTACGACAGAGGTAAAGGTGAAGGTGTAGCCCGGGGGCACTTTTAACATTTCTATACGGGGAGGTGCCATTTTACTGCGTATTTCGAGAACTTGGTAGCACAAGTGTGGGAAATATGCAGGCCCGTAGCTAGGTTCTTCCAAAGGAGGGTTTTCTGGGCGTGAGGTCCACGGTCGAAGCCCTGGTGGGGTCGGCGAAACCTCCAGAGTAAGAGGATTTTTGTGCTTTATGGGTCTAAATAATGCTATAAAAGCAGATTATGTTTGAAAACGTCTGTGTCTGGGTGGGTCTGCAGTGCATTAGCTGGGTTGGAGGGCTTATTTGGGAAATTTGAAGCGGGGGGGGGGGGGTTGCCAAAAAAAGAGGGGGGTTTGCTAGAAAAGGGGGTTCTCCCGAACCATAACAGTCATGAGATCGCGACCGGACGGAACACTTTTGCCATCGGGAACCAGTAAATATTGTACCCTCTCTGGCACTATTGAGTGGCCTTTTTCCTGTCGTAAAATAATGAGAACACGTGTGTTAGAACACCTGGAGCCTGGAATATGAAGTAGGCCTACTGTTGTAGGCCTATCCTACACTGTACCCTACACTTTACCCTACACTGTACAGACATTTCCGGAAATAAAGACACTACGGAAATTTATCTTTAGTTTAGACCCAGAAATATATAGGTTTACCATTGTTGAAAGTAGGCCTACAGGACAATGATACAATGATTTTTTCATCAGGACTATTGGCTACATCGTTCCCATCATGACCACTTGAGACCTGTCAGATTACTGATAAATTAGGCCTATTGTAAAACCCAAGAAAGTGCCCCATAAATCATCAGGTGCTATGGAATATTTTCATTTACTACGGAAGGAAGACATGGTGGTCTGTAACTTATCGAATTTTGATTAATTAAGTGTGCAGAATATTTACGACATCATTTCATCTCTGGTAAGTACACATCCTATTAGCTGGTATTTTAAAGTTATACTTGAAAGTGGGCAGTATAATCTTTCGGGAGCAGTAGGCTCCCATTTTTCATGATCCTCCCCGGCCTAGCTAGGCCCCAGTAGCGGCTCAAGGGGGAGGGGGCGCGCTAAGGTGTCCGGACTGCGGGGGGGCCTAAGTATTTATGGGTGTGACTATGGCGCAGAGCATTATCTGAGGACCGAAGCCGGTGATTGGGAGGGGTATCCCTATCCTCCCAAAACAAGATTAAAACAAAAAATTGGCACTTCTAGCCATGGCCGGAAATGGCTGGGATGGGAAAAGTAAGCCTTATTTTTTTTTTTTTTGGTCCAACTGCCCAACGAGCCTTGACTGATGTGGGGGCTTGACCATACCAATGGGGGCTTAAGCTCCTCTTTTCTGGCGCTGCCACTGCCTAGACCTAGCTAAAGTAAGATACTAGGCAAGGGCAACTTGCCTATGCCCAGGGCCCAAATGAATTCTGCCATACAGTGCACATGTGATCAACGTTAATAAAATTTGTCAATAAACGCGGTATTAACAACGAATTGTATGAATGAACGAAATTTGTTGCAATCTTGTGTAAATGAATAAAATATAATATAAAATGAAAGTACACTTAGACAGCCCTCAACTACGCCATATTCTGTTAAGTATGTTAATTGGGCTGGTGATACAGTACGTCAACTAAAAAAAGAACCGAAATTTTCACGAAAAATTGCTAGGAAAATAGGCGTGCAAAACCGTAACTTGGCATTTGTATATTCAGATGTAATGTTATAGGTGTAGTGCTTCATACAGAAGTCTCAAAGCACTTGATGCGTGGACTAGCTCGTACCGTAACTTGCTTCTCCCCTAAGGGTCTCTTGATGTCTGAGCTACCCGGTCACTGAAAGGCTAATTTTCAGCAAAATCTGCACGGAAATCGGCCCTTATTTTCTAAAATGTGCAGTTGGATTTCTGGGCCTAATTTTTCAACGGAGGATATTCCTGGGCACAGGCCTTACTTTACAGTCAGTACTACAGTTGTCAAGCCATGAGTCGCGACCCAGCTTTGGGTCGTGAGAGGATTTTAGAGGGTCGTCAAATATCACTGGGTCTCCAAAAAAAAAAAAAAAAAAAAAAAAATTATACAGAAAGTCTTAAGTGTTCAAATAAACACATTAAAAATCAGAGAATTTCCGTGAAAAATTCCTGGGCACAGGCCTTACTTTACAGTCAGTACTACAGTTGTCAAGCCATGAGTCGCGACCAGCTTTGGGTCGTAAGAGGATTTTAGAGGGTCGTCAAATATCACTGGGTCTCAAAAAAAAAAACAAAAAAAAAAAAAAAATTATACAGAAAGTCTTAAGTGTTCAAATAAACACATTAAAAATCAGAGAATTTCTGTGAAAACATCTAAACATTTTTGTTTAAATAAAATAATTTGATAAAATGTTGGCTATTGTCTTCAATTTGTGTCAATGTTTGGCTGTCTGTCATCCGATAGAATTGATGAACTTGATAAAACATCGCTATGCGTCCTCTAATCTTAGTTCAAGCACACTATTTGTTGAATAGATTTTGTGTTTCAAAATACAAAGGAATATTTGTCTTGGTCAAGTTTTTAGGAATTTCATTTACAACCTCAGCTTCTTATTTGCCTGCTCTTGAAAGAAACTTCATTTTTGAAAAAAAAAATGAAGTGTACTGCTAAATTAGTGGGCAGTATGAAATCAAAACATGACAAAGGTGCTAGCAACCAATCTCAGAAAAATGATGGAAATCAACAATCATGTAAATAAAAATAAAACGATGCTTTAGGTAATTATATTCTTTAATAAGTGTGTATCAAATATCATACTGTTGTTACGAGACACTACCTGTACAGTCAGTTCGATATACAGTACAACCCCTGTTAAGAGGACACATTTGGAACCAAAAAATGTCTCCTTAATGGAGTGCCCCTATTTAGGAGACACAAACCAACAAACCAAAGCGTGAAATTGTATCCTTAATAGGTTTTGGTAGTTTTCATACAACGATGCTGATATAGACCTACAGTACACTCTTTATAATTTTATTTTTATTGACCTAAGAACAAATTGCAAACAGAATTACAGTAGAACTAATTTGAAATGCAATAGTTATTTATAATATGAAATCAGCAGTAATATTGTATGTTCCCAATATTATTTTGTGATGCGATGTGAATGACCATATTTTTTTATATATATTGAGCATTTTATTGGATGCATGTAGCATTTATAGAGTAACAACTTAATAATTAATCGTGCATGTTATGAAATAATTAGAATCCTATATGAATGTACATAAAATCCACATGGTTAGGGTTTAAATTAATTTGACAAGATCAGTTGACAGTATTCCTATATAGACCAGGTTATAATTGAGATAGGTGCCACTTGGAGAGGTAGAAATTATCATATGGTTTTTCTAGACCAGTTTTTTATGGGGAATCAGAATATGTGAGGTAAAAAGGGTGTAACCTAAGAACTTTCGCGTGAGGGCGCTTTTTTTCAAAATTGCCGCCAAAATCCAATAAACTACATATATATGGGTAAAATAAGCACAGAAGAGGTAGGTTTGACCAAATTTTGAATATGTAATGATAGGAGTAAAGTATAATTAGCTAAAGTTATTAATGTGAAGATTTCGGGAGGCAATTGAGGGCGCTTTTTAAAACGGCGGCCAAAATTAAATAACAATTTAACAGCAGCTTCAATACCCTAGATAAATTTGTTTAATTTACAAAATATGAATGTAATAACTGCTGTTGACTTTTTAAACCCAAAACAACATATTTTAGGGGTGTAAGCTAACTCACTTTTGAAAAATGTAAGTAAAAATTCCCCCTTATTTTAGCCCTTTTCTGTTTTGAAGAATGGAAAATATCACCAGAATCTTAAAAAAATTCCAGCTTCCTTACAAATATCCGGTTGTTTTTCATTATTTCTGTGTGCTATACAAGCTATTCCAGACAACTACCATAATTTTCATGTATGAAGAAGGCATCAATTCATTTACTACATATTTGTCCTGTAGTGTTTAACAGTGTTGAGCAATAATCTATGTTGAGCAATAATCTTCAGGTATTGCTTTTATCACTGCAATCTAAAAGTCTTCGTATTCATCGTATGAACAATTCTTGGACTTCCGCGGGAATTTCTGCTAACATGGTGGCAACAATGATATGTCAGTGATCTTGTCTCTGCAAAACTTTCTATTGAAGATGTAACTTGCTTGATTTACACTTTTCTCCTTAACTCCAAGCAGCAGTGAGACATACTCTTGTTCTTCAGACAACTTTTGTGACAGAACATAAAACTCCGAAGTTGCTGAAAGTTCCAACAAACTCAGTTTATGATTACAGAAGCTACGTTTTCCTTTACGAAAGAAAGCTGGGGTGTAATTGTCTGTAATGGATGTCTCGAGAAAGGGAACGGATTATTGCATATGCCTTGGTTGGTATTCGTTAAAGCATGCTTTGCATACAGAAAGACTTTCGTATCGGCTTCTTCTTGGTGGTTCTACGCCAGATTGTAGAACCCCAGGTTGCCGACTGCCAGAATTTCGAGTTCACTTTGCCAAAACACAGTTTGCTGAATGCCAGTTTGCTGAATCAAAACCTACGAATCCCAGTTTGTGGAAACCCAGTTTGCGCTGAAACCCACTATGTCGAAAATAAAATAAAAGCCTTAAAACATTAACCACAGCATAACATTCATGTTGGAGCACTCTCTTACTATGTATTCGTATAAGAAATAGTGGCTTATTGTAGTTAAATGATTCTTTTTGTTTTAATCTGTAAATCAATTGGCTATCAGCAAATAAAATTCAATTTAATAGGCCTCGCAGTTGAAACGATTCATTAGCATACCTATGATAAATACATAAATTTATAAACAAATAATAATAAATGAAATAAACAAATTAATAATAATCTACAATTATACACACATGCGATACGATTATTATCCTTAATTTCATTTCATTTTATTTCTAATTTTAACTGATAGCCATGCTTTCAAGTGTGTTTTTCTACAGCTTTGTTGTCTTCCAATATTTTTCCTTTTAATTTGTACACAAATGAAGCTCCTTCCTTTTAAATTCACAGTGTGCTGTACTTTTGTAACACAGAGATTTAGACTGGGTTTCGGAAAACAGAGTTTTGGGAAACTAGGATTTCATGATTTCAGTGAAATGGATTGGGCATTCTGGGTTTCGGCAAACTGAGTTTCTGCAAACTGGGATTTCGACAACCAGGTTGAATACATTCTTGAATACTATTGCTATCGGCAAGAATGCATCCTTGTCACTGAAAGAGATTTTGTATTAGTTCGTAGCAGCCAAGAAAAGCAGACTCGAAAGTCATCCTGCATGCAATGCATGCTTTAAGGAATTACAACCAATACATAAATATCAACCGTTCCATTCTGGAGACATCGATATTGCAGTAGTTGCTACCGTATATCTTATTTTACGACAACAGAGAGAGAGTCATTGTAGACACTAACACTGGAATACCGAAAGTTGTTTAAATTAAGTGACATTAACTTTCACCAGCGAAGAAATTATACCTTATTGGATCTCATGCTTCTGTAGTCAAAGGCAAAGTTTTGTTGACACTTTCTGCAACTTTAAAGTTTTAGATGTTCTGTCACAAAAGATGTCTGAAGAACTTGAAGACTGCGGCATGGAGTTAAGGGGAAAAGTGTAAATCTAGCAAGATGTGAAATGTTCAGTAGAGGCAACAAGATCACAGACATATCATTGCTACCACCATGTTTGCAAGCAGACCCTTGAGCACTTTAATCGCTAAAATGGAAATTAAGCAGACGTAAATGATTTGGTCAATAAAAATAGTATTCACAACAGATGGAATGATCAAATGAAGCAAAAAATGATTGAGACAGTGATGCCCATGGACGTCCAAGAACTGTTTATAATAAAGACGAAGACTTTCTGATTTAGTGCAAGAA